GCTTCTTCCTGGAATCCCGTTCGGGAGCAGGGGTCCAAGCATTTGGGCCATCCCCCACTGCCTTCCTGGGCCACAGCAGAGAGCTGGACTGGAAGCAGAGCAACCAGGACTAGACACCAGCATCCATATGGGATGCTGGCACTTCAGGCTGAGGATTAACCAAGTGAGCCATGGCACCAGCCACCATTCATTTGTCAAAAGAGGAAATCCAAATGGGCAACAGACACATTAAAAAATGTTCAGGATCAGCCGGCGCCGCGGCTCACTAGGCTAATCCTCCGCCTAGCGGCGCCGGCACACTGGGTTCTAGTCCCGGTTGGGGCGCCGGATTCTGTCCCGGTTGCCCCTCTTCAAGGCCAGCCCTCTGCTGTGGCCAGGGAGTGCAGTGGAGGATGGCCCAGGTGCTTGGGCCCTGCACCCCATGGGAGACTAGGAAAAGCACCTGGCTCCTGGCTCCTGCCATCGGATAAGCACAGTGCGCCTGCCGCAGCGCGCCTGCCGCGGCGGCCATTGGAGGGTGAACCAACGGCAAAGGAAGACCTTTCTCTCTGGCTCTCTCTCTCACTGTCCACTCTGCCTGCCAAAACAAAAACAAACAAACAAAAACACACACACACACACACACACACACAAACACAATGAGGTTTTACCTCACCCTGGTTAGAATGGCTTACACACAGAAATCAACTAACAACAGATACTGGCAAGGATGTGAGGGAAATAGGCACACTAATCTACTGTTGGTTGGAACGCAAACTGGTAAAGCCACTATGGAAAACAGTTTGGAGATTGCTCAGACACCTGAATACAGCCCCACAACATGACCCAGCCATCACACTCCTTGGAATTTACTCAAAGGAAATTAAATTGGCAAATAAAAGAGCTGTCTTCACCTCAATGCTTATTGCAGCTCAATTCACAATAGCTAAGACATGGAATCAACCTAACTGCTCATCAACAGAAGAATGGATAAAGAAATTATGGGATATGCATTCTATAGAATACTACACAGAGGTTAAAAAAGTGGAATCCGGTCATTTGCCACAAAATGTAGGAATCTGGAAAACATCATGCTGAGTGACATAAGACAGACCCAAAGGGACAAATATCATATGTTCTCCCTGATCTGTGACAACTAACTGAGTACCTAAAAGGAAACCTGTAGAAGTGAAACTGACACTATGAGAAACAATGACTTGACCAGCCCTTGTCCTGACTGTCGAGGAATAGCTTGCTATATTATTCTTTTCGCTATTTTTTTGTTCTACTTAATACCATTGCTTGAACTCTTTAATTAACACAATTATTCTTAGGTGTTTAAATTTAACTGCAAATTAATCTCTGTGAAAGATAAGAATAGGAATAAGAGAGGGAGGAGATGTAAAGTTCGGCACACCCTCACTCAAACTTACCCCTAATGGTAGAGCTAGAAAGGTGCCATGGGATTCCAAATCCCATTAAGGTGGCATGTACCAATGTCAGCTTACTACTTAAAGTGATCAGTTTAAGTTCATAATTGATCATAAAGACAGGAGTAAGTGTCAAAGGGATCACTTAAACAAGACCAGTGTCTGCTAATAATGACTGATAGAATTAAAGAGGAGAGAACAATCCAACATGGGAAGCAGGATGCACAGCAGACTCATAGAATGACAGATGCCCTACATAGTACTCTGGTCTCAGTTAGCCCTTAGGGCACTTGGATCTGGCTAAAAAGCCCATGAGAGTTTCTCAGGCATGGAAAGCCAAGAAAGTATGGCAAAAAAAATGACCTAAATGAAAGATCTTTGTGAGTGAGATCCCAGTGGAAAGAACGGGCCATCAAAGAAGGAAGTACATTTCTCTGAAGGGAAGAGAGATCTTCCACTTTGAATATGGCCTTCTCTAAATAAGTTTGGAGTTTGTGCACTCAAGAGGCTTCCACAGCCTTGGCAGCTCATGACAAGAGCTTCCGGTAATTACTGACGTCATAATAAGAGTGTCAATTGTTAAATCAACAAAGACAGTCACTGTGCACTTATTCCCCATTTAGGATCTCTGCCTTTAATACGTTGTACTATGTAAATTAATGGTAAAACTAGTATTCAAACAGTATTTTATACTGTATGCGTCTGTATAGGTGAAAACTGTTGAAATCTTTACTTAGTATGTACTAAGTTGAACTTCTGCATATAAAGATAATCAAAAATGAATCTTAATGAAGAATGGGATGGGAGAGGGAGTAGGAGATGGATGGTTTGTGGGTGGGAGAGTGGCAATGCGGGGAAAACTGGTATAATCCAAAAGTTGTACTTTTGAAATTTATATATTTTTAGCTTTTATTTAATAAATATAAATTTCCAAAGCACAACTTGTGGATTACAGTGGCTTTTTCCCCCACAACCTTCCTCCCACCCACAAGGATGCCATCTGCCACTCCCTCTCCCATCCCATTCACACCAAGATTCATTTACAATTATCTTCATATACAGAAGATCAATTTAGTATATACTAAGTAAAGATTTCAACAGTTTGCAGCCACACAGAAACACAAAGTATGAAGTACTCCTTGAGTGCTAGAAATTTATATTTCTTAAAAAACTTTTAAAAAATAAGTATAGTAGGCTCGTATGATTTGTATGAAGAGCAGTCCTTGCTGTATGTGCACACACTTTCCCTACAACCTCTTACCACGTACCTGTTTATGTATTAATGATAGAGATATACCTGAGGGACTCAAGCTTCTGCTACCTTCCACAATAGTTTTCCCACCTTCATTTTGTTTCTTTTTTGTTTGTTTGTTTTTTTGAAGTTTTACTTATTTACATACAAGGCATTTACAGAGCCAGAAGGAGAGACAGAGAGATATTTCCATCTGCTGATTCTCTCTCCAACTCCTGCAGTGGCCATTGCTGAGCATGCAGCAAGCCCGGAGCTGGGAGCTTCATCCTGGTCTCCCACATGCCTTATTCTTTCCAAAGAACATTACCTTCGAGATAGATTAGAGGGATCTGACATGAACCAAACTTCATATGGGAAGCTGGCTTCTCAAGAAGTGGCTGGACCTGCTATGCCCCCAAAATTCTTCTGGTTTTTAAATCTTTACAGAACCAGGGAATGAGCTACATTTACATTCAGTGTTTCTTCACTCTTTTATCATTTTCCTCCTTTGTATTTTTTTTTTCTGGCTCATGCTTCTTCTTTGTACATTAAAAATCTAGAGGTACATTTTGAGTCAATGCTCTATACCTTTTTTCCCAGTTGAGGTAAAATATGGGTATTGTCTCTTAATATAAACTTTTGAGTGATTTTATTACTTCCCTCTGGAAACTTCTCAACCATGTGACTTCTTATTGATTTGCAATGCATAATTTAGCATCTTTGCATATCTAGCCTTTAAGTTATATTTGTACAGGAAGTAATTCTCAATGTAACCCTAACTGAATTAGGTACGTTACAAGGGTCTTCAACACTCTCCAATGATTCATGTCATATCTCTTGTCATGTGTTCTTAAAAAAACTGTATGTGCTGATTTTTTAGGGTTTGGCAAATGAATTATTTGGGTGATCTGTGTAATGTATGCAGCAAGAAACATGGATGTGTCAAATACTCAGTTGTGGAAAGAGCACTAATTTAAACCTGAGAAAGAACTTTAAGGAATGACTTCTGAATTTCAGGAAATAAATGATAATATTTTTAATTCCTTAAAACACATACAATTGGCCCGAGCTTGGGCCTCTGCACTCTTATTGGAGACCAGGAGGAAGCACCTTGCTCCTGGCTTTGCATTGGCATAGTTTGGCTGTAGCGGCCAATTTCTGGGTGAACCAACAGAAGAAAGACCTTTCTCTGTGTCTCTCTCTCTCACTATCTGTAACTCTATTTAAATTTCATCTAATTAGTTAAAGTTATACAAAAACGAGGTAAATATACATATTTTATGGGAGTAAAAAAGGAAATACAAAAAACATCTACATATGCATTCACATGCAACAAATACTGCACAAAATCTTATGCAATATGAAGAGACATACTCACATCCTTGAAAATTTGAAGTGGTAGGACTTGCGTTTAAAGGCTGAGCTGGCAAATGATACTTTACTGAATCCAATATTCAGATGAAGACTATTTAAAGCCATTTGCTGAAGACTATTTAAAGCCATTTGCTAATTGTGATTCTCTATTTCAGACATTTTAAGTACATTACCTTATTTTGAAGAAAATAACAATGAATTTGTTATTACTGGAAATAAGTTCAAGCATTCAATACGTTCAAAAGCATTCAGTATGTTCACAGATATCTTTCAGGAAAACCCTAGTTATATTTGGAGGACACAAATGATAATGTTGATAATAGTAAAGAAATTTCAAGTCATCAGCTGTAGCCATCCTGAATCATATGATGTAGATTCAGAAATCTGCAAAAATATAAGCTTTGAAGATGTGAAAATAACCATTACATACCAAGTCTGGTTCTGAGGTATGTACATTAAATTAAATTCAAGGGAACTATGCTTCAGGCATTTTTGGATTTATCCTTAATAATAACAAAACTATGTCCCAATAGTACCACTTTTCATTAAGGTGAATTTTTGGAAGTATCCTTAATAATAACAAAACTATGTCCCAATAGTACCACTTTTCATTAAGGTGAGAGGTGCTATTCATTCTCAGGAAATTCACCTTCAACCTCCCACCAAATCCTCAACTCCTGACACAATGTGCCACGAGGTGCTATTCATTCTCAGGAAATTCACCTTCAACCTCCCACCAAATCCTCAACTCCTGACACAATGTGCCACTACTACGGCAACCACTATGGTGGCTGTGGCTATGGCCATGGTGGATTCAGTGGTCACAGCCATGGCTGTGGTTCCAGTTGTGGCCATAGAGTCTATGGTGGTTTTGGCTGTGGCCATGGTGGATTCAGTGGTCTGAGCCATGGCTGTGGTTCCAGATATGGCCACGGAGTCTATGGTGGCTTTGGCTGTGGCCATGGTGGATTCAGTGGTCTGAGCCATTGCTGTGGTTCCAGATATGGCCACTGAATCTATGCTGGCTTTGGCCATGTCTGTCCCTCTTCTCAAGGAAGATATTTCTCCTCTAATTTTCACTGAAAACATTGTCATCTGGGATCATCCATATTCTTGATATAGAACCCATCACCCAACTTGGTCATCCTCATGCCTGCTGTACTGTTGATATAAAGATTTCTTCTTTCTCCTTTCTGTTCTATTTCTAGTCATGTTAATTCAATAAACATTCTTTATGAGCATTTCAAACCTGTGTCATAGTTATTTTCTATGTAAATACACCTGTCAGTGCCAATTTTTTAAATATTTGATTAACTCATTTCATTTGAAAGTGTGCTCTAGATGGTACTATCTATTTCCTTAGAATTAATGTTTCACACTTGTAGTCAATGATGCCTTTATTTCAGGTAGTGTATACTTAGTTGTGTTTCCATTTTTGTTTTCACATTAGAAATTAAAAATCCCTTATTCTTGTGAATAAATGGGCACTAATTATCATAGTAATTGAATGTTCTTTTTGAGCTCAGGATAATAGGAAATAAAAATTCTAGGTGTACATTTTGAGTCACACTAACCAGTTCAGTTCATATATGGGTATTATCTTTTATTAAACTTTTGTGTGATTTTAATACTTTTTTCTGAACTTCAACTCCAACAGGTGGCTCTTGACTTGCAATGCATGTTTTAGCATCCTTACATAACTAACATTAGTTTCAATTTATACTGGAAGTAATATCAAGGTAACATTAACTGAATTCGGTAAGTTACAAAGGTCTTCTTCAATCTCTAGTGGTATTCCTCATCATGTCTCTTGTAATGTGTTTATGAACAGGTTGTATATGCTGATTTTTTAGGGTTTGGGAAATGAATGCTTTGGGTGATGTGTCTAATGTATCCAGGCTGGAAGCTGGAACCTGTCAAATACTCAGTTATGGAAAGTGTACTAAATTAAACCTGAATAAACATTTTGAGGAATGCTTTCTCACTTTGAAGAACGCAGTGATATTGTTAAAACACATACAAAATTCCTTAAAACACATATGATTGACTTTGAGTTGAAAACTCATTAAGATTCAAGGATAGTTTATCAGGTTCTTTATAGCACAGTAACTGCTTTTCTGTGCTTTCCTTTTTTTTAAGATTTATTTATTTATTTGAAAGGCAGAGTTACAGAGTGGCAGAGGCAGAGGGAGAGAGATGTCTTCCACCCAATGGTTCACTCCCGAAATGATTGCAATGGCCAGAGCTGAGCTAATTTGAAGCCAGGAGCTAGGAGCTTCCTCCAGGTCTCCAACGTGAGTGCAGGTGCCCAAGGACTTGGACCTTCCTCCACTGTTATCCCAGGCTATAGTGAAATCAGGCATGACCCCCTAAAATTTACACCAAAATGTGGCCCCTTAAGTTCTCCAGAAGTGCTTTCTGGGGTGCCACATGTGCTACCAGAATTTGGGCTACCATACGATTCCACAATGGGCTTATTAATAAATCCCCAATATTAATAAGCCCTAGAGGTTTCTTGCCTAATATTTAGAGAAGAATTCTAAATATTGGCAAAGATTATCGAGGCAACAGGGTACGTTTAAAGCATTTATTTAGTGAGAAAGATGCATAGGAGAGTGAGAGCTTTATTTAAAAGATAGTGGTAAATAGGGGTTCATACCGAGCACCAGGAACCAGCCCTGTGCAGGAACATCTGGGCGTGGAAGCACAGGGTTACAGCAAGGCCACGTGCCCTGGAGGCATATGGCTACTGCAAGTGCCCTCCTGGCAAGAGGCCAGGGAAGAGGAGAAGGGCGGACACACTCTGTCCCAGGCTTTCAAGCTACTTCCAAAGGGGAGTGGTTAATTAACCTGATGGGCAGGTTGGCACCCAGGTCTGGCCAGGTAGGGAGATGAGGACACACAGGGACATGGTGAAGGTATGAGGTAGAGGCATGAGGTCACACATGGGCCTGGCGAAGGCATGGTCTTCCACGTCACAAACTAATCAATTTTAACCTATATGCTTGCCTACTGCATTAGCAGAGAGCTGGATCAGAAGAGGAGCAACCAGGACTAGAACCAGTACCCATATGGGATGCTGTGCTTCAGGCCTTGGTGTTAACCCGCTGCGCCACAGCGCCGGACCCTATACTTTCAAAGTTTGCATTAAATAATGATGAAAAAGCTGTAAGTTAAAGAATAGTCAGTGATGTATTAACTAGTAAAATTCCATACATTTGCATGAATGTTAGAATTTAATCTAACTAGAGGAAGTTGTTCAAAAGAGGAGGTTAGTATATTTATTTTTATGGGAGAGAAGAAAACACTATGAATAGAGCAAGAAAGATCAGAATTTGAGAATCACTACTCTACTGTCATATTGATTATACTTAATGAATATAGTTTAGAAAGTATGTAGTGATGATCTTTCTTTGATATTCCAGTCAATTTTTTAAGACTTTTTAAAAAATTTTATTTGAAAGTCAGAGAGAGGGAGGCAAAGACAGAAAGATGTGGGGGAAAGAGTGAGAGAGAGAAATCTCCCTTCTGTTAGCTCACTCTATTTCTGCAAAGTCCAGGGCTAGACAAGCTAAAGCCAGGAGCCAGGAGCTGCCTTCATCATGGTTTCCCATGTGTGTGGCAGGATTCTGAACAGTTGGGTCACCTTCTGCTAACTTTTCCCAGCCATTAGCAGGGGGCTGGCTCTGAAGTGGAGAAGCAATACTTGAACTGGTGCCCACACGGGGTGCAAAGTTGAAGGTGGTAACCGCACTTGCTTTGTCTGAACACCAGTAATAACAGTCAGTTTTAAACATAGCTGTAGCCCAGAAAAGATGTGTTTATGAGAGATAAGTGAATTCCAGATAAAAATTCTGCTGTAGCAACATTTTTAATTGCCAAAGGATTCCAACTCAAATTACATGTCCTATGTGGTACCTAGAACAGAAAAGAAAGGAATTTTGAAGCTATGTGGAGGATCTTTTGTCCTGACTATGTGAGTGATGAAATCAGAAGAGAAATGCAAACTGAGTCAGGCTTTAAGCCCAATGGCCTGAATAACACATTTGCTTTTTTAAATGAAGAGATTGTATTTGAGCAAGAAAATAAGAAAGGCTTGATTTCATATATTTACACATTCATTGCCTCTTTGGTTAGCAAGTGATTATATCTTTTTTTTATTATTTATTATTATTATTTTTTTTGACAGGCAGAGTGCACAGTGAGAGAGAGAGACAGAGAGAAAGGTCTTCCTTTGCCGTTGGTTCACCCTTCAATGGCCGCCGCGGCAGGCGCGCTGCGGCCAGCGCACCGCGCTGATCCGATGGCAGGAGCCAGGAGCCAGGAGCCAGGTGCTTTTCCTGGACTCCCATGGGGTGCAGGGCCCAAGCACCTGGGCCATCCTCCACTGCACTCCCTGGCCACAGCAGAGGGCTGGCCTGGAAGAAGGGCAACCAGGACAGAATCCGGCGCCCCGACCAGGACTAGAACCCGGTGTGCCGGCGCCGCTAGGCGGAGGATTAGCCTAGTGAGCCACAGCGCCGGCCAGCAAGTGATTATACCTTGTTCGTAGAAAACTATTTAATATGTTTACATAAGTATACTGCAGAAATTTGCTGTTATAAATTAGATTTATCAATATACATCTTTCTTTTTACCTTTATTTAAAAATATAAATTTCCAAAGTACAGTTTATGAATTATATCATATATCAAAATTCTTAACACTGAATATAGAAGTCAAATTTTTAAAACCTACTTTGACTACAAAACTTATTTTCTGCAAGGCAAATAACATGTTTTAAATAAACCTCTGTTATGTATCCTCATTTGTAATGATTTCTAATATAATTAACATATAATAATTTATTTCCTAAGTTGATTCTGCAATAATTATTTACATTGATACAAAACATAATAAATTCAGGACATGTCCATGTTTTTGTTACAAAAATTAATTAAACCTGAAAATATATAGCACATTTCATTTACACAGAAAAACAATATCTGAAACCAGAAAACTTGATGTATGACTCTAATGATAAGCACATATCATTTAAGTTGAATAATATTTCATATGTTCATCTTTTCCAATCCACATTATTATTTAGTTCTGTAAGAGGACAACTTAGAAGGCTTCCAATTCATCCCTTTTCCAAAACTCAATCTTTCATTTTTTGAATTATTTATTTATTTATTTTGAAAATCAGAATTATTGAGGAGAGGGAGAATCAGACAGAGAGAGAGAGAGAGAGAGAGAAAGAATCTTCTATCCACTAGTTTACACCCCAAAGGGCTGAAAGTGCCAGCAATGGGTCAGGTTGAAGCCCAGATTCAAGACCTTTATCTGGGTCTCCACATATGTGGCAGGGGCCCAGGGACTTGAGTATCTTCCACTGCTTATAGGAGGCCATTAGCAGGGAATGGATCAGAAGCTGAGCAGCTGGATCATGAACTGGCATCTATATATCATGCTGGTGTTGCAGGTGGCAGTTTACCCACTACTCCACAATGCTGTACCCAAAACATCACGTTTTTATGTCATAATCCTAAACGAAAGTATACAAAATGCAGGTTCCTCCCTAGTAATGAGGTTATGTTCTCCCCAAGCATCTGTTATTTCTTATTTAAGTTCCGTAATCCACATATAGAGTTTCTTTCATTGCCGTCACAACTTGCTTGCCTACCTCGCTCATCAAAATCTCATACCATTGTTCCTAGAGCTTTTGCCTCTCTCAATGCATAAAACCTGGGCTTCATTATAAGTAACACTAATTTTACCTCTTCATCAGAACTCTTAGGTGAACCTTAACTATTTAGTGAATATTTCTACCTCATTCCTTAAACACATGACACTATTCATGATTCACTGCCTCTAAACTGCCATAAGTTATTCATACAAAAACTGCTTACATTTGCATTCACATGCAACAAATACTGCACACAAGTTACGCAATAAGAAGACGCTTTCTCACAACCATGAACACCTTGAAGTTGTAGGAATTGCATTCAAATGCTGAGGAGACCATTTGTATTTGCCTTGTGACATTCATTTACTCAATGGTGTATCTTGGTTCCATTCACTAAATCGAATGCTCAGATGAAGAATATTTAAACCCATCTGTTCATTGTGATTCTCTATTTCAGACACTTTAAGT